TTACCTAAAAAGGACAGCAGAAATGCCATTATATAACTTCACAGTCCATTTATTGTCGGGCTAGCACAAACAAGCACAAGACCCAGCAAAACGACAGCAGAGACAAGTTCATTAAAACCAAGAATCAGATGTTTGTTGCTATAAGGAAGCACAGAGATACTTATGCTGCTGCTACCCGACTACTTGTTGTAAGGGGAAAGAGGACAGCTCAGATGTATTCCCAGATTCAGTTTCTGAGAGATCATTCCCAAAGTAAAGGGTAAAAGCCATTATACAATCAATGGCATGTAACTACTGTGTGTTGCTGACCACAACACTTGTTGCTGTTTGCTCATCCTGTTCCTTGCTTGGTGAAATTTAAGAAGATGCTCCTGAAAAAGTGGATACACAACAATTAACATAATACTTTTCAGTATATTTTCTGAGATTTATAGCCAGAAAACCACAACATGCATCGGAAAAGTGTGAAAAATCAGTCAGAAATTTTCCTTAGTTGTATCAAGAGTAATTATTTTATTTTTTATTTTTTAAAAAGGAAAAGAAATAAACTTTAAAAAAATAAAACTACTGCAGTAGAAGTTTGCCCATAAACTGGCTTTGCCATTCAAATCTGAAGAGAAATCAGTATTAAAATTACCTGGCTCTGGCAAGTAATATTTGGCAAAAAATACTCATTTTGAGCAACCAAAGCACAATAACTATTTATTCTTTGAAAGGATCAGAGAGACTATCATCAAGATTTAAAATATCTTAGCTGAATAATCATAAATGTCTTACAACAGGACACCATTGTAAATCAAGCAGGCATACTTTGGCCTAAAAGTTCAATTTGCAAACCTATTTTTCCTTTGAATCCTGCTTGCTAACATCCACCAATTTTCCTTACTTAATCTTACATCTTCCTCTTTTTATCTTTCATACACTATGGTAACAAATACCAGACAGACATTTAAACCTGCTTACATTTCACTCACTGACAAGATTCAATCAAAAAGACTATAGAATATAGTGAGTTGGAAGGGACCCAAAAAGATCACTGAGCCCAATTCCTTGTTCCCTGCAGGACTACCTAAAACTAAACTATATGACTAAGGGTGTTGTCCAGATACTCCTTGAACTCTGGTAGGTTTGAGCCATGACCACTTCACTGGGGAGTCTGTTCCAGTGTCTGACCACCCATGGGGTGAACCTTCTCCTAACCAGAGAACCTGCACCAGTGCAGAACTGAATGGGACAACACAATGCTTGATGCATCCCAGGACATGGTTGGCTCTTCTGGCTGCCAGGGTACACTGTAGAGTTATATTCCACCAACCCAACTCCAAGATCCCTTTTAATAGTGCTGCTCTTGAGATTCTTTTCCCTCAGTTTGCACCTATATGATTACCCTGTCCCAGGTGAAGAATACAGGACTTTCTCTTGTTAAATTTCATACCCACCTCTCTAGTCTGGATCTTTCTCTAAGACCTGTCTAGCTGTCAAGGGAGTTCAGAGCTCCCCCTAGATTGGAGTCATCAGTGAACTTAATGTACATTCAACTCCTGCATCCAGATAGAGCTCAGTCTCCCACTGTTATTTCAGGACACAAGAAAGGAAAGAAACTCATCCCTTTTGCTCTTCTACATACATTTTCAACATCAAGGAGGAAAAAAACTCCACTCAAACAACTTCAAACCAAAGAACCAACAGCTAACATATATTTAAAATATTTGCTGTGAGATGATGTCAGCTTTCTCATATCTTCTGACTGAAAAGGAAAGCAAAAAGGCTTGAATAAAGTTCCTATCACAAACCCTACTCTTGCAGACAAGTTTATTTGCTTCTTCCCCCCCTGTCCAATACTATGAACATTCTGATTGCAGATTTGCTTTGCAGAATTTAATCTACACTGCATATGTCGCCTATTTTGGGAATTTATATAAAAACACTGTATCTTTAGAAAACACCTGATTAATCACAACCTTTCCTTAGCTAATTTTGTTTAAAGGAAAGCTATAAGCAGTAAGACATACTGCTTGCTATTTTTAAGGGGAAGATAGGTTACATACTCTTTGAAGACATCAAGCTTCAAAGACAAGATACAAAGTCAATGTATCAAAACAGGACCAAGATAATGTTGTCAAACTATGTTAAGACTTGCAATATATGAAAAAAAGGAATTTCTTAAGATAATTGAAGGACACAGAAAAAGATTGGACATGAAATCTATTAGACATGCCAATTGTTTTCTTTTGTGCGTTCTTTCTAATGATGCAAGCATCATTAATATAAATACAATCTGCTAGGGTAGGTTTTGTTAAGTTTACTTGCTTAAAAACAAAACTAAAGCACCTTCCTTAAGATACACTACTGATATAAAAAGGCATTCCTAGTAATCTATATAAGTAAGGAAAATAACAAGAATTATCATCTCTTCATGAATCAAAATATGAAAGCTTTAACTTACATAACACAGCTTTTACAAGAAATACTTAAAGACTGTGATTGAAATGGTGATTTAACTCTGAAACATCATTTTAAAGGGTGCTCATGGGATAAACTTAAAATATCAACAGCCTCACAAATAAATTGACTGCTTCTCATGGGACAGACTTTAAATATCAGCAACCTCAGAAACAAAGTTCATATACAACCCAGAGAACCAAAGTTTGGCAAAAAAAAATATTTACATTTCAAAATCTAATTGCTAAGACAGACTCCCTAGACATTTGTTTCAACATTCAATCATCAGTAACTTGAGAAGACAAAAAACTCCAAACCTTTTCTTTTTTTACTACTATACATTGCTGCAGAAGAGTAGGTCTTTACTGAATAGTGGCTTCCTTTCTACTTAATTTTTTCAAAATATGAAGACGTAACAAACAGTAAAGTAACAAAACCAAATTTTAAAGTGTTCGCAAGTTATATGTGTACTATTTTGACAGGTATTAAGTTATGTGAAAATAATATTTCACCACTGCATACTCCCTTTTTATTCCAAGAGAGTAGCATTTTGTGGCCAGAGGAAAGAGTGTTGTTACACAATATGCCATTGAAGAGATATTTGCGCACCTAATTAAGAGAAGTTATAAATATAAAAAGTAAAATTACAGAAAGAGTATGCTAGAACCTTCAAGCAAGATTTCTCACTTACTTACATACCAGTAATTCTGCTTTTCAGTCCTGCAACTAATTTATTACCATGAACAAAGATGTTAGTTCCAAAAATCCATGTTTTCAAACAGGTAGAGAATTTATTTTTCCTTTGGAAAATTTACAAGGGGGGGGGTAATAATAGGTGGTCAGCACTGTGATTTGCAATGCTGAATAGCAAATATTTATAGCAGACATTTGGAAAATCACCAATGTTTAAGAGTTTTTCAGTTGTTGGCTAAACAACTGCAAGTATCTTTGCCAAAACCAGAATAACATGTCTAATCAGAAGCGACTTTTGCATACAGAAAATAGCTTTTTCACTAATCTATTTTGAGAAGAAGAAAGTTTAACCAGTTATAGAAAAGACTGTGACTACCCATTCAGTTGTGCTACTCAGTTTTCAATTCCCATCTCATTCAGGGTTTACAAGCTCAGTCTCATGCTTTAGCATGCAGAAAGCCTGGTTTTCCTCCAATGGTTCACAAAAACTGAGTTCTAGAGAAGAAAGACAGTGTACTAGCAAGCAATGCTGTACTGGTTTTACTGGGCATTTCTTCCACAGGGCCAGATACAGACATCCCATATATTCCTGGTGCAAGGACAACTATTTGACTGCACACAAGACAGAGCACTCAAGAGTCACTCACAAAGCTCTCACCTATGAGGTGGTAAGTCCCTGTCATCTTAAATCTTACTCTCTGCTCCAGTTGTGAGCGCTTCCTGAGATTCTCCTTTTTTAATTGTAAACAGGTTAAAATATCACCATCTTGAACAAAACCATCTGTTCTAACAGTTTTTCACTCTACAAAGCAGTGAGGTTACAGAGCAGGGAGCTTTGAGGTGTTCAAGTACATATTTTTGTCAATATTTCTCCCAGAGAAATACATGGGAAAAAGGTTATTATTTAAAAATTGAAATGTCCAGTTATATTAACAGATGTATTGCTACGTTTTACGTTCATTTTTACTTCTTGTTGAATTCTAGCTCTTCCCATCAAAAACTCATGAGGTGAGCCACTGAGAACAGGACAAACAGATAGAAAACTGCATTTTTTTAGTGGCTTAATAGGAAATTCCATGAAAATACAGCAAATGAATCATGGTATGGAAAAAAAAGTACTTTCATATATACATATATACACAAAGGCTTATATAAAAAGGAAATACAATAGCTGTTCCCATTGCCTTAAAGTAAACTATTTTTTAGAAATTTTCTCTGAGGGAAAATTACTTAGGTTGTCAGCAGTACAGGAAGTACAGCAGAGAATATATAGAAATTGACAAAATTGAAAATATCATGTGAAAAACAAGGAACCTTTCAAACGTGACTGCACAAGGACATATGAAAGATAGAGTTAAGGTAGAATAGTCAATTCTATTACATGTGAGAATAATAATAGTGATATGAGTTGTCATCCTGATAAAATTTCAATATACAGAGATGTACAAGTCATACTTAAAATATATGAGTTTCTAGAGTTTGAATTCACATTTTGGATATACATTAAAAGGTAATTTAAACTTAAGATCTTTTGAGAAGATATAAAAGCTGCAGATTCTCTAAATCTTTGAAACAGAAATCAACAACTTATTGAGATACTTTTAGTTCAGGGCATGCACATTAGAAATCTGGTCCCAAAGCTGAAAGAAAGTTGCTTTAGAGGATGTACATACAGACAGTTTAAGTTATTTCAATAGAGCAAAAAGGTAACATTAAAAGATAAAGGATTTTGTTTCAGTTTATAATTTATCTTGCAAAAAGTTACATTCTCACACAGACAAAAAAATTGAAATTAATTTAGCATCAAATACATGGAAAAACTGATTTTCCACTTAGAAGGAAAAACCCCTGTAATTTCTACTTACCTTCAGGATCAAGGAGTTTCTCTATGCCCAGGTGTTGCCTGGCTATGTTGAATGCATGTTCTAATCGTTGTACAGGTGACTGCTGAGAAGCAACAGCATTCCAATCAAACAGGTCTGGTCTAAAGCAAAAATAAAACAAGTTTCTTATTTTTCAGTCTTAGATTTATTTATGTATTTCTAAGGCTATCCATCAGCATCATCTACTGCTTTGTATTTTCATAATCAAAGATCATGTTCAATTGGCACTGATGAAGCTTGGCTTCTAATGGGATTGCACCCTGTCCTCATTCATGTCCATCACAATCACATTAACCACATTTCTTCTTTTCCATGAAGTCCCAACAGCCTATTGCCTCACTCCCCCAGATCACCTTTTTTGACCCATAGCACTCTGTTGCTGTCACTGCTCAAATATCCACAGTGGGTTTGCTACTTCCTTCAGGCCCCAGGTAGTTCCTGGGTGAGAAAGTTCATATTCTGTGGCCATGCACACTGGGACTGGCTTGTAGCAAGCAGGACAGAACTGCTGATGCCATTTTGGAGCTTTCCTCCTTTCCCCAGGCACCAGCTTTTCGCTTCTTTAGATATTTCCAAGAATATAATCACTTCTGAGATTACCACCTCTCTGTTAAGATTGAAATCGGTCTACAGCTTAAAAAGCTCATAGAATCATAGAAACATTTGGGTTGGGAAACACTTTTAAGAATAGAGTTCAACCACTACCCCAGCACTGCCAAGTCCACTACTAATCCAGGTCCATAAGTCTACATCTACACATCTTTTAAATACTTCACTGCTCTGGGCAGTCTTTTCCAATTCTTGATGACACTTACAGTGATGAAACTTTTCCCTAATATCCAAACTAAATCACCCAACACAACTTGAGGCCACTTCCTCCTGTCCTAGTGCTAATTATCTGGGAGATCTAAATGACACACACCTTGCTGCAATCTCCTTTCAGGTAGTTGTTGACAGAGACAAGGTCTCCCCCAAAGCCCTGTTTCTCCAGGCTAAACAACCCCAGGTGCCTCAGCTGCCCCTCACAAAACTTGTGCTCCAGACCTCCAATAGATTGGATGCATAGAAGAGAACACTGTTTGTGCTTTTGATTCCTTCATCAGTCCTCCCAAGGATTGATGTGACTTGTGAACATATGCAGCATAGCTGCACATGTCACTTCTTTTACCATCTTACACTTTTCAGATGAGTGTTAACCCATAGTACAGTCATGGGTTTTAGCTGATTGGTGCAAAAGCACTCGAGCATAATTTACATGCCCTTGCAGGAAAAGACAGAACAAGACAAAACTGAATTATAGCTCAGATACACAATCTGGGACCTTGTATTATCAGTTGCACTATTTGCAGTATAAATAATGTTACCAGACCATGATCTTTGGCCTTTATTTGAAAGTTATCTACTAGGAGATGACAATTTGTTATCGAGTACTCTGAAAAAAAATGTTTAATTAGATATTCTGTAATTAATATACATATAATATGAAGCAAAACAACTATGCAATTTGTGATTTTGATACAGTGTTCTAAATCAGAAAACATTTAAATGTATAATTTCAACTATAGATAAATCAAGTTGGTTATTTGCACAAATTAAAATGTTGCAATTAGTTATGACAGATTTACTTACATTTTTATTAATTTTTAAAGTTAATTTAAAATAGTCTCCCAGTCTATAATAAATGGCAAAAACATTTACTAAATCATACTGTAATAATGTCAAGAGAGTAAAGGGAAAATGCCATTTATGTAGTAATAATTCCCCAGTTATGTACCTTTGCTGTCCAATTTTTTTCTGAGGGGGGAGTGATTTACATAGTAACAATTAAGTTACTCCAAGTTATTTTGCTTCTCTGTGCAGAGGTTTATAAATATTAGAGTTTTCTCTTTCCCACATGCAGAATAACTTCAAAAGACTAAATTTAGCTAGGGACATTACAAGGAAGGGAAAGGAAACTTAGGCAGCAATTTCCAGTTTTAATCCTGGATGCTTTAAGTCTGTTATGTCATAAACTGGTTTGTGTACTAAAACACAAGCATTCACAATATAGATTATGTGTGCATAATTTTGTCATTCTGCTTTTACTGGGGATAGAGAGTTAACATTCTTCATAGCAGTCCATACAATGCTATGTTTTGGATTTATGGTTAGAAAAGCGTTCAGAGTAGACCATTTGCTTGGCTATTGCTGAAGTGTGCTTACTTTCCCTTCACGCTACTTTCCCCAGGTGAGTAGTATAGTGATGGTCAAGGAGCTGGAAGGGGACACAGCCAGGACAGATGGCCCAAACTGTGCCATCTGACTTGAACATCAATACATATCTGGGTAAAGGAAGGGAGGGGGGTAGAGGGTGTTTGTCTTGGTAGGTGTCTACTGGTTGGAGACTGGCTGGACATCAGTTACTGCCTTTGCATCATTTCTTTACCTGTTCTTCTTTCCTCCATTTATTGAAACAGCCGATTTTGACTCAAGAGTTTTGATGCTTTCCCTTCTCCTATTCTCTTCCCTGTTCTAAAGGGAACAGGGGGAGAAGCAAACAAGTGGATGTGTAGGTGCTCAGTTGCTGCTGGGGTCAACCCACCACACTTCTACATCTTACTCTGCAAACATATAGATATTCTTCAATTCCTTATTCTCTCCAAATTTAACAGCTTGGCATAGGATGCATAAGCCCATGTAGCAAATTTAGCAAAAAAACACCCCACTATAGTAACCATAAAGCTATCTATTATGACTCAAAAAGCTTGTCAAGTATGTGTTGTACAAATACTATAGAGACTAGAGTGTAAAAAGATTATTTAGTGACAAAAGCTTTTAGGACAAGGAAAGGAAAGAATGATATCCAAGGGACTACCTCCCCCTCAAATGTTTTTGTAGGGATTTGGTTCGAAGTTCTAACCACACCTGCGCTGCTCAGAGCAGCACAGTATCTTCACACAGTCATGACTTACTTGGTGATATAAAATTCATACTTTATTCTAACCAGTCAGGGCTCCACTAGCAAAGAAAATGAGCATTTACGATTATTCATTAAAGAATGTCACAATATTTTCTTAATCCTCTTGAAAAACCTCTGTCCTCATTCATAGTATCTTACAGGGTTAACTTAATCCAACTTCTCAGCTGTATAAACCAGGAGGGCATTTTCAAGTTGATGTATCATGATGTCTTGTTTAGAGGGAGGATTTTCAATGTAAGACAGATTTCTTTTTTTTTTTTTTTTTAAAGTCCAGAACTCAAACACAAAAGTTTCACTAATAAAGTTTCAGACAACATCATGTCTTCAATATCTTGGTCGAATTTGCATGCTGCATGTGTCTGTATAGAGTATACACAGCACTGCTTTTTACACTCACCACAGATGGCAAAATTTGAACCCTCTTAGACACAGCAATAAGAGAAGTAGTAAGACTTAGTAAGTCACTGACAGGATTCTTATCAATCTTTTCTTAGTGTTGTAGCAGACAGCACAGATTCCAAGTCAACATAAAAGCATATAGCACCTACTGTAACTCAGCTCTGACAAGCATCAACTTAATTACACAGAGAAAACAAAACCAAAAAGCTCTCCCTACTCCAACAGCAATTTAAATTTCCAGATTTTTCCCTTTGTTGAAAGAATATGTGACTACACACATTTCAGTAGCACCATCACTAGAATAAAGAGCATCATAATGTCAACTTGAAGCATCAGCTTCTCAGCGCTATGTGTCTAGATGTTTCATTGGGGATATTTACATGGCAATACTGACAAGTTTGACTGCAGGAGATATTACAGCCTAGAAGATTAATAATTGTGCTATGTGGCAAATAGCTTGTAAAAATCCCTGAAACAACACTGAAACAGAATTCCTAATAACAACTATTATTAGCTTTCTAAGGAGTTTTAAATACAGGAAGGGGTTGGTATGAAATAGGAGAAGAAAGAAATAAAATGGAATATAGGTTCTCTGCCTGAATTTGGTTTCCTGAATTTTTTGACATGTGTAAAAGGAGACAAGCACTGTTCTTGTATCTGCAGTTTGATTCATGTGTGACAGGGAGAAAACCCAAGGAAAAATAACTAGTATTTTTCATTCCTTTCCCTGAACAATACAAGCATGTGAATGCTCAAAGAAATGAGAATTAACTAGAACATGCTGAACTTCATCTAGCCCAAAACTGATCAGCTCAAACAGCACTGATCTTGTATTAGTTTATGACAAGATTATGCAGAGCCAAAAGTGAAAGGATTGAAGGCTTCAGTGAAGAAGCTTGTATTGTAAAAATCAAAATTTATATTCAACACCAGGTCATTTTTGTAGTAACAATTCTTTCCCATAACCAGTAGAAATAAAAGTAGAAGAATAAAGAAAAAAGGAAAACAAGTCTGAAGTTTTCCAAAATGTATTTCCAAGAAAAATAACTTTTCATAAGGTATAAAAGGGACTCCCCACCTGCCCCCAGTTACATAATTTACAACAGAACTAGATCAGCCAGGGTAAGTAAATTGAATCCAGGACCAAACAAATCCAGACAGATTCCTATGTAGAAATTAAATTCATGGATAAGACAAACCACAGTTACTACAAAAACCAATAAGTTGCCATCCAATTTAAAGTGTGCAACTAAACAAAACTCAGAGGCAGCAGGTATCTATGTATAGTAACTTCAACACCCCACAGTGCTCTGTTCCCAGCTGAGCCCCTCTTGTTTTTCTTAGAGACACATTCTAAATCTTTCCCAAAATGGAAAGCTAATTTTCACAAGTGTAGATACAAATATTATGACCATATAACCCCTTTAAGATTGTATAAGCAGTAAAGAAAAAAAAAAAACAACACAGATTTTCTGAGGTGGAATTCTAATCTAAAGAGGTAATGAATTTTACAAAATTATGGATTTAAGAAAAGTTAAGAGAAGAAAAGCTTTTATGCCAGAGGGAGAACTCTGAAGGAAGTGAAACATTAGAAGATACTTTAACATCATGTGATGTATTGCTTTCATTTCTTCAAGTATTACAAACCTTTAAAACAGGAGCCTTTATAACTTATGTGACTTGCAGTAAAAATTAATTACACAGACATAATTGCAAATATCACGAAGAAATAATATACACGTT